CCGAACAGAAAGTTGCCACCAGTTGGGAAACGGGCTGGATCAGACTGGAGTGCACATTCTCAAACAATAAGAACAACAATTTTGTCCCTCCAGAGCAGAATATGTAGTGCCATATGGTAGAAATCAGTACATGCCAAACAAGTTGATGTAGCTCTTAATAAATGATGCAGGATTATTATTAGTTGTTTGCAACCTACCCCCATTGGAAAAAAAGTCTATTATTTTGCTGAGATTGCCCATCAAGAAGTACGTCAAGAGGTGCTAATGAATAATAAACAAAATAAGATAATACAGCATCAAGCCCATCCACTTCACGGACACCAACGCCCTGGATAAAAGCTAAAATCAAGGAGAAGTTTTCTGCATGTCTAACTCTTATGGACTATTGGTTCAGCCCAAAGGGGTTGGACTAAGAAAGAGCAGGCGGTGAGTAAGAAATTTAAATCCAAAAGAGTGGGAGAGCTGATTATGAAATATTGGTTCAGCCAAAAGGGGTTGGACTAAGAAAGAGCAGGCTGTGAGTAAGAATTTGAATCCAAAAGAGTGGGAGAGCTGGGGAGGCCAAAGCTGCTGTTGCCATTTAGATAGCTAAGGCACTTGACAACTTGGTCTAGGTGTAATTCCTATATGTTTGTGTTGGAGGGGTGAATCCACATAATGAATTCATGTAGATGCAATTGAACTGATATTTTATTAGACTTTGCATGTGCAGCTGACTGAGTTCAAGTGTCCCTTTGAAACGCAAAGGCACACTTGAACTTTGCAATTTTACTGTAAATTCCCCTTAGAGGTAAAATAACTAGATAAGATTACACAAGGAACTTTATTGAGTTAGTTCTGCTAACTCCTGTATTTCTGAGAAGTAATTTTGCTATTCCTCTGTTGCCCACAAAGTAATTTGTTACATTTAATTACTTTACTTCTGACTCTTTGCTTCCAAGCTCTACATAACGCTGTAACAGTCCACAAGATCCGGCCATTACAGAGTTTTTTTAAAAAATTAACTGTCCCCCACCCCACCCCCATTGTTGCCAGACTGCCATGCTTTAAATTGTAAGCTCCTTTTGACAGAGATCTGGGGAGGGGGGCGCAGAAGTTTCCTGCAAACATAGGCTGACGGTGCCATATTTATAATAATACAAATCATGAAAGGAATATTTTCTTACTTTGATTATTTTATCCCCCTTATCATCTATTTTTGTCATAGAAAATCATGGAACCAGCAAACAAAAGGTGGGGAAGGAGTGGATAAGAAAAGGCATGGGGGAAAAAACAGAAAGGAAAGAAATCAAACAGTACTTCTGTGTTTGCCATGGGCTTAGTTCAAGTGCTGTGACTGAAGGCATCTTCAAAGGGTTCCTATGGCAGAGAGAGTATGAACAAGGATCTGCTGGGACACTACATCTGTGCCCTTAACCTTCGGCGTCTCTAATGTTTGGCAAAGTCAGTTAAAAACATTCCTTTACACACCTTCCAATGTCAAGAACTGGAACATTATCAAGGTTTAACTGTGCCATCACTTGCCAAATTGGCTGCAATCTAATTCACAAAAGCCCTGTTTATGGAGTATTACTGTAATGGCTAGCAGGGCAGAGTGAAATTGAGGGCATATTTTCATTCTGGAATAGATCCAGTTCTGTATTTTATTTTATATTTTTCAAAAACCTTTAGTACAGCGTCCAGAAGGGAAAAAAATTGTCATAAATCTCTGAATTATACACACATAAATGCTGTAATTATATATAAGAGTGGTATCTAACAAATTAGGAATCATTTTCTGCAAAAATAATTTTGTGCTATGTAGTTTTTTGGTATATTGCTCACTAAATGCCTGGAAAAAAAGTTATATATTTAATAAGGGTTGTTCATTTGAGGAAATTCATTCCCAGTGATTCAGTGGGATCTCTGTTATGCACTTTGTCTGTTTCTTCTGCCAATCCTTAACTGCGTACACACAGGGCTGGGTAAACTACATCTCTAACCAATAGCAAGGACAGGAGATAAACACATCTCTTCCATTGTCTAATGTTCCAAACTAGGAATGTAAATCTTGAGTTGCTTTATCCTTCCAAGGCAAAAGAGGAGGCACTGGGGCTGGAAAGGGGGGAAAGAATCTCCATCCCAAAAAGTGAGCTTTTGGGGATGGAGGGTTAGATCAGAGAGAGGTCAGGTAGAACAGAGAAAACAGGGACTGTAAGGTTTGCAGATGGTAACATTCAATTCAGTAGAAGGACAGGACAGTCAGCATGGCCCAAAATCAATGTTTCCCCTTTCTGAGGGCAATGATAGGCAGTGTAGTGACCATGCAGAAATGTTTGAGCAATAGCTTGGAGACAGAGTTTACTCTTAGCCAAACCAAGTGCCCCAGCAGAGTGAATCCACATAATGAATTCACTCGCTTAGCAATCGCTCTGTTGAGCGATGAAATCGCTTTGCGATGGACTTTTGGCCATTGCTGGAGCGATCACATAGCAATGGCCCCTATGGCTAAAATTCGCTTTGCGATGATCGCGGGGAAGCGATCATGGCAAAGCAAACTTTTTTAAACAGCTGATTAGTGGTTCCAAAATGGCCACCGCAAAAACAAAACGGCCGCCGCTGTTTTGCCTCGCTGTAGAGGCACCCAAAATGGCCACCGCTATGGAGGAATTTCGCTTTAAGGTTAGTTTTTAGCCCATAGGAACGTATTAAACGCATTTTAATACGTTCCTCTGGGATTTTTAATATCACTTAGCGATTAACTCACTTAGCAATGTTTTTTTCCGGAAGGGATTAATATCGCTAAGTGAGGCACCACTGTATTCAAGGCAGGATAGTGCCATGCTTAGCCTCCAGCACAGAAGAGGAAAAAGCAACACCAATGTCCATTGATCTTGTTATTGATAGTAATGTTAAATAAAAGCTGAAATAGAGGTGCAATCCAAGACTGTCATCTGCCTCCCCACCTATTAGCAGTTTTTTACTCCAAATGAGTGGGTAAAAAAATGCATATTGCAGCACACACCCTTTTTAAAAGTTGAACTGCTACTGAGCCTCTCGGCACAGTGGCTAAACTACAGTTCTGCAGACAAGACTCTGCTCACAAACTGGTTCAATCCTGGGCTTAGGTAGCTGATTCAAGGCTGACTCAACTTTCAATCCTTCTGGGTTGGTAAATTGAGTACCCAGGTCACTGGGGCCACCCCCCAGTGTGTTCTCTGCATAATTAAGTTGTAAACTGCCCTATAAGCATTATGGGGAGATATATAAGCAGCACACTTAGCTTTGCTTTACTTTAAAGAAACTGGACTGTGGTTACAGAGAAGGAATTACACTCTGCAAAAGCGTGGCGCTGTCTGGGTGGGGAACTCTTTGCTCGCCCACTCAAAGATTTACAAGCAGGGGTCTCACAAGAGGATGGGCAGGACTGGCTCAATGTGAGTTTTTAAAACAGGCCTCATGGCCTACGCCACCCTCCCACCCAGGCTAAGAATGAGAGTAGCTGGTTGCTTCAGGGCTGGGTGGGAATTTCTGACCTGCACCAGATTGGCTCTAGGCTGCAGGTGGTTTTTTACCCATCCCATCCTTATTCCCAGGGATCACATGAGAGCTAAATAGGTCACTGGCAGTACAGCCACAACTGTAGGTAGTGTTAAACAGGGTAGGTTCAGGTGAGTTCCAGAGTGGGCACCCATAGGATGTGAGGGACCCCTCCTCTCAGAATTGCATTTACAGAGATTTGGCTGAGGGGAGAGAAATCAGGGAGACTCCAGAGGATTCTGGGCACTTGGAGTCTAGAGACTCGGGTAAAGGGAGGCCCCAGGTACTCTGGGTGGATGGCCAAGAGGGTGCTGGACAATTTAACAGCAGCCTCTCGGAGCAGGAACTCCCAGGAGCAAAGGGCTGGATCAATTAGTCAAGAATGAAGATGGTTCCAGACCTGTTAGCACTACAGCTGCCCCCTTGGCAAAAGGGGGTAGTTAAAAGTTAAATACAGTGGCGCCTCGCTTAATGATGTTAATTGGTTCCCAAAAAACACCGCTATGGGAAAACATTGCTAAGCGAAACACCATTTCCCATAGGAATGCATTGAAAACCAGATAATCCGTTCCAATGGGAATGGATTACTGTCCTTAAGCGAAAATCGCCATAGGAAACATCGCTAAGCGAAAGACGGTTCCCCCATTGGAATGCATTAAATAGGTTTCAATGCATTTCAATGGTTTTGACAGGTCCGTTTTCACTATTTTTAAAGTGTCTTAAAATGTTCAAAAACTGT